GTTGAGCCCAGTGAGATTGAATTTGTCCTGGATGTAGTCTTCATCCACCTGTCAGGATGTGGAGGTGAGGAGGGAACTCATAACAGAATTCTGTTTGACCTGACAAGTCGCTCCACTGATGCCTTATCCTCAGCACAACTGCTTCTATTCCCCTCCCAACTCAGCACAGGTACTTGAATCTCTATCCTCAGTTCACACACACCCCCTCCCATAAAAGCTTTGGCTTAAAGAACCCCAAGACGACATGTATTTATTTACTTAATAAATGTCTTTTTAAACTTTTTAAAAGTTTTTGTTGATTTGAGAGGGAGAGAAAGAGAAAGGGAGAGTAAAACACCAATTTCTTGTTCCACCTATTTATGCACTTACTGTTTGCTTCCTGTATGTGCCCTGACTGGGGATCGAACCCCCAACCTTGGCATATCAGGACGATGCTCTAACCAGCTACCTGGCCAGGGCCTAGATAGGTTTTTATTGATTTTAGGGAGAGAGGGAGAAGGAAACAGGGATGGTGGCCTCCTGCACACACCTGACCAGGGATGGCGCCGGCACCGGCGTGGGCCCTGACCAGGGATGGCGCCCGTGACCTTTCGGTGCACGGGACTGCACTCAACCAACTGAGCCACACCGCTGTCGCTGGAGAGGCACTACCATCTTGGCTTTTCCCACCAACCAAAAGACACAGCTTCACTTGTCCCTCTTACACTGCTGGAGGGGCAGGGCTGGGGGCGGCCGTGGGCCACTGAGGGGACTCCTCCTCCACAGGAACGAGTTTCCATGGAGGCATGTGAGAGGGCTGGGGAGTATCTGGGCAGGCTGTGTCGGACACAGGAGGAAGGGCAGGAGAACTCACTTCACAGAAGAACTCATTGCCACGGAGCCCACAGAACCAGGAGATCCAGGACACCTCCTCTGAGCTGCTCATCTTCACGTCAGCTGCAGAGAGAGTCAGTGAGACCCAAGCTCCGCTGCTCCGCCACCTCCCTCCTCCCGCTGCCTCCACCAGGGAAGAAAGGGCGCGGGGCCACCGTTCCTTAGGGTCCCAGATTCTGGAGCACCTCTCTTCACCTCCTCTTATCTACACCTCAGCCCCTTTCTCTGAGATCAGGACTCTTTGGGGTCCCACCGGAAACCGACAGGCCTTGACCTACCCGTTCTATCCACATCCCGACGCCCCCGGAGGCCGGCCTCGGCTCGGCTCCTACCCCCGCCGGTCTCTGCAGGTCCCAGCGCCTTTCCCAAAGGTTTCAAGTTTATCCTTTCCAAGCGAGAGCTGGGCCCCTCCTTTTCTCAAGGCCTGGGGTGGCCCCAAGGTCCCTTTCGCGGGTCTCCTCACATCCCGCCTCCGCCCCTCAAGCCACCCTTTCCTTGCTCTCTCTTCCTTCCCCACCGCATAGCGAGGCGCGGAGACTCCCATGTGCCGCGCCCAGGGACAGGGTACTCGGCGCGGCGACAACCTTATAAGACTCACCGTCTGGACGGGGGCCGGGACCAGGGTTGGGGAGGGGAGTCGCTACTTCCAAGATACGGCCGCGACGGCTACAGCGCAGGCCGCGGACCCGATCGCGGCAGGCAAGTGGAGGGGTGTAAACGGGAGTTCGGGGAAGAGGGCAACGCGCAAGCGCCAAGGGTCAGGCGCCGCGGTGGACGCCGGGAGATAGAGTTCCCGAGAGGGAGAAACTGGCGAAACCAGGGCAAGGCGAACTACGACTTCCAAGGTGACTCGCGCACGACCCTGGTGTCGCGAGGCCCCTGAGGAAGACGCTGGGGGCGGGACGCAGCGAGGCGCCACCGGAAGCGGAAGCCCGGTAATCTCCTGGGCCCGGAAGTATGGGAAATATAGTTGTGTGATCCCGGGATCCGGGGGCGAGAGGCGGTGGGGAAAGGGACGAGGCTGGCCTCCGGCCCCCGCGCGCCCTGCGCAGGGGACTGAACCCGCCGCGTCCAGTTGCCTGGCCCACCCTTTGCCCGCGCCGGGCGCGCTCTGGGGACCCTCGACGGGGCCCATATTTTGCTGAGGGACCTGGGTGGGCCGCGCTGGGCTGCGCTGGGCGGTGAGAGAACCGGGCGGCCTAGTGCGCTAACCTGAGGCGGTGCCAGCCATTCTGCTGTTCGTCTCTTTGTACTTCTTAGGGCTTGAATGGGGCCTTCTGCTGCGGGCGCTAAGTGCGACCTTCGAACCCTGGTTGCAGTAATGGTGAGGGGCAGCGTGACGTTATTTTATTACCCAGTCCGGGCCATCCCATAGGTTTCCCTCCGCCTTCCCAGGGCCTTTCTTAACCCAGAGAGTGGTTTCCCAGCTCCAGAAAATGAGCTCAGAGCAGGGGGCCACGTTGAGGGAGGCGAAGGGCATTGTGGGGCGTTAGGTAAAAGCAAGACCCCAACTGACAGACCTCCTCTGTCCTCGCGCTCCCTAGGCACGCGGCGCTCTGCGTGAGTTCTGTTGGAAAGGCTCCAGGGCGGGAAACCAGGCGCTTTCTGCACGCCTGCGTCCTCCAGTAATCTTGGTGGGTTTTTTCCCAGCCGCTTGCGTCTTTGAATAGTCTGGCTATTTGATTACGTGAACTCCTTTGCTTAGAGTAGCGCCATTTTGCAGTAGGGATGCCGACTGCAGCCTCTCCCCAAATCTGCTTCCTGCTTTCGGAGAAGTGTCAGGTGTTTTTGTCTGAGAAGACGGCACTCGAAATAGACACTCAAAATAGGATGGAGGAAGATTGAAGAGCCAGGCTGATTGCTTTTCTTAGTCGTTTGTCTTACAGATGATGAAGTAGTTCCAGAGAGAGGCAATCACTGCTTATTGTTGATGAAGCTGGGAGTGGGGGTGGAAAGCAGGGCCTCTGAGCAGCTGCCTCATGGAGTCTTTGCTCACCTTTACTCTTGGGCATGGCCTGTTACTACAGGGTTCCCTGTTCTCCCACATGATCTATTGCCTCAGGCCCAGCAGGGATCTAGGTTGTGGCATCACTTTTGGGGCGGGAGAGGTTTTTTACTCTAAGGCTGCTTTCCTTCATCCCAGCAGGTCTCTGGAGTGGGTTGCTGGTCTCATCTTCCCCTTGCCTAGTCTCATTTTTGAAGCTCTCCCAAGCCATGTCCAGACCCTCCCTCATCACCTTCACCCCAGCCACTGACCCCAGTGACTTCTGGAAAGATGGGCAGCAGCAGTCACAGGCTGAAGAGCTGGAGCCTGCCTTGGATGGGGCTGCGGCCCGGGCTTTCTATGAGGCCTTGATTGGAGATGAGAGCAGCACCCCTGAACCTCAGAGATCACAACCTGAACCTGCCGGTGAGAGAAAGAGGAAGAAGAGAAGAATGATGAGAGAGGCTACAACAGAAGCATCAGGAGGACATGGTCAAAGGAGATCCCTTGAGGCTGAGGACAAGATGACTCATCGGATACTGAGGGCAGCCCAGGAGGGGGACTTGGCAGAACTAAGAAGGCTGTTGGATCCCCATGAGGCAGGGGGAGCTGGGGGGAATATCAATGCTCGGGATGCCTTCTGGTGGACCCCCCTGATGTGTGCTGCCCGAGCAGGCCAGGGGGCTGCTGTGCGCTATCTCCTGGGCCGGGGAGCTGCCTGGGTCGGAGTTTGCGAGCTGGGTGGCAGGGATGCTGCTCAGCTGGCTGAAGAAGCAGGCTTCCCTGAGGTGGCCCGCATGGTCAGAGAGAGTCATGGAGAGACGAGGAGTCCAGGGAACCGGTAAGGGGAAGCCTTCGCCCATGCCCGTCTTCAGTGTGTTCTGCGCTTCCTAGCCACTCCACACCAGCAAAGAGCTGAAGGGTTCTCTTCCCCGTCTCCCAGTGTAGATAGATAAGGCAGTGTACTAGGACGATCATGAGCACGAGCTCTGGGTTTATTTATTTATTTATTTTTTTGAGCTCTGGGTTTAAATGCTAACTCTGCTTAACTTGGGCAAGCAACCTAAAGTCTAGGTGCCTCAGTTTCCTTGTCTGAGAAACGGTGGTAATAAGAGCACCTTTCTCATAGGTTTGTTAGGATTAAATGGGTTCGTATATGTCAAGTGTTAGAACAGAGCTTTCCACATAGTAAGCACTTTGTAAATATTAACTGTAGCTATTGTATCCCTTCCTTGTGAGTTCTGGTTACCATCTCTTTACCCAACTTTCCCCTTCTGGTCTTTCATTGCTAAGTGGGGAAGAAGGCAATTTGTTCCTTAGAAAGACTGGAAGGACCTTGTCATTCCCCCCGTCCCCCACCTCCACCCTTTCTCTGCCCTCAATCCTTTCTCTTCTTCCTCTGCAGGTCCCAATCCCTGTCCACCCAGTACTGTGAGACGTGTGATGCCTACTTCCAAGACTCCAACCACTGCACATCTACTGCTCACCTGCTGTCACTGTCCCGTGACCTCCGGAACCCCAGTCTGCACTTTGGAATGCCTACTTCCAGCCCAGGCTTCAAGCTGCTGCTGAGGGCAGGCTGGGAGCCTGGAATGGGTCTGGGACCCTGGGGCAAGGGCCGTGTCAACCCCATCCCTACTGTCCTCAAGAGAGATCAGGAAGGGTTAGGATACGGATCAGCACCCCAACCCCGAGTCACACACTTCCTGGCTCAGGATACCCGGGCGGTGGCTGGGAGGGAGAGAGCCCCTCAGGCAGCCACACTGAGCAGAAGGGAGGAGAGAAGGCAGAGGGACAAGGACAGAGCCTGGGAGCGGGCTCTGAGGACATACATGAACCTTGAGTTCTGACCTTGCAGAGTCTGACACTGGACTCTGTTGAAGTCTGAGCTGTGCATCTGACCTGGGCGCTGTGAGTTACACTCCCGGTGTCTGCTCAAGTCCAGACACTCAGATTTTGGTCAACAGGCCCTACCTTTGAGAGAGGGGCTGAGAGTTGAGAAATAAATCAATCATCTCACTTGTTTTGTGTTTTATTTTAAAAATATGTATTTATTGATTTCAAAGAGAGGAAGGTAGAGGGGGAGAGATAGAAAAACAGCGAGGAGAGAAACATTGGCTGGCTCCTGATGCCCCCTACGGGGATCGAGCCTGCAATCAGAGCATGTGCCCTGACTGGGAATCAGACCAGTGATCTGGTGTATGGGGGATGCTCAACCATGAGCACCTCTGCTGTGTTTTATTCACTTTTCTGGAAGCTGTTATGGAGAAGCCACAGAGTCTGGGGGCCACATGCAAGTCTCCCCTGAGCCAGAAAGGGCAGCCCCTCCAGGTGGCATCATAGGGTCACCTCCCTGCCAGCCCTAGCCCTTTTCTAGAGCACCCCAATAGGGTGATGAGAGTGGGTTGGGGCTTGTAGGAAGAGGCCAGTGTGGTGGGAAGCCCTCAGATGATGCAGCCTGTACTCTGTTCGCTGACTGGCACCAGTACTCTGGCCTCTCAAATCTCAACTTGAAGCCAGGTGTTCCACTACCTGGAACATCCTAATAGGAAGGCGGAAACCTATGCCGTTCGTCTACGCTTGTCTTCCCCATCCTCCCCTGTGCCTTGTGCTGCGGGTACCAGGTGCCCGGCGCTGAGATCCGCTGGGAGGGACGGAACAACTGAAGTCCCAGGACTCCTCATGGCTCTGAAGTCACGGACACAAACACGAGCTGTGGGGGGAGAACCCAGGGCGGGGGCTAAAGGGCAGGCGCGTTCTGGGGAGCGCGGGCGCCGGGGCCTCCGGGCGACGAAAGCGGGGGCCGGGGCTAGGACACGGGTCCTGACGGCGGGGACGCCCGCGGGCTGCGCACCGACGTCGCGGGGGGCGGGCCATCCGCAGGGTCCTCCCCGCGAGTGGCGGCTCCGCCCCGCCCGGCCCTCCGGCGCCCTTGCAGCTGCTTCCGGCTCGGCGGCTCCGGGCGCCTCCGGGAGGCCGCGGCCCGAACGCTGTGCCCGGGAGGGGCCGCCGCCACAGCACCCGGACGCCTGGGTCCCCGACAGGCCCGCTCGTGGGCTCGCGACTGCGGTCTCCGAGGACGTCGTGGCCTGACCTTCCCGAGGCCGCGTCTCAGCTGCGCGCTTGGGGCCCGCCCGCCGCCCGGGGGGACTCACAGCCCTGGAATCCGAGGGATGAACCTGCTGGCGAGGTTCGCCGACACCTGCCCCACCCTCCCACAGGGGACTTCCCAGCGCTGAGCTCCCCAAGTCGGCAGGTTAGGACCCTACATCGGAGCACTTCCTTCCCTCTTGGATGGAGCGCCGCCTCTCCAGCTTTGGGGGCACCTTGGGTGGCCTCGGTGAGTGAAACTGGGTGTGCTGTTTGCTGGGAAGAAACCCGGAAACGGGGAGGACGCTGTCGGGTGACAGAGGCCTGGTCGGATCCTGAGACTTGGAAGTCTTGTGTGTGGGGCGGTGAACGCACTCACCCAGCAGATTCCTGTGCTGCTGAGCCTCAACAGTGCCAGGACGCGGCCTCAGGATTTGGGGTTCATTGCACATTCCAACCATGTTCCTGCGACGGCTGGGTGGCTGGCTACCTGGCCCTTGGAGCCGCCGGAAACCCAGGCCTGACCCGCCCACCCCAGAACCCAGACGGCTGGATAGCTCCTCGGAAAACTCAGGGAGCGACTGGGACAGCGCCCCAGAAACCATGGGCGATGTGGGGCCTTCCCAGAGGAAGGACTCAGGGGCCCGGAGTCGTTCTGGGACTGCTCCCCAACCAAGCAGGGAGCCCCAAGTTGAGCAACTGGGGAGCAAAAGGATGGATTCCCTCAAGGGGGACAAGACTGGTGCTGGCATTCAAGAGTCTGGGAGACTGGAGGCAGCAGAGGCCATTCCCCATCTGGGATGGGACCCTGTGGACTCAGGTGGCACCAGGAGATCTGAAGTGCCTCCTGAAGGGGGACTGAGCCCCCCTGGGCCTGAAGCGCCAATGGAGAAGCCTGGCCGCCGTCAGAAGCTGCTGGGCTGGCTGCGGGGGGAACCAGGTGGGGGAGCAGGGGCTCCCTCGCAGTACCTGGGGGGCCCAGAGGAGTGTCTGCAGATCTCCACCAACCTGACGCTGCACTTGCTGGAGCTGCTGGCCTCGGCCCTGCTGGGACTGTGTTCACGGCCCCTGCGGGCAGCCCTGGACATGCTGGGCCTGAGCGGGCCTCTGGGCCTCTGGCTGCATGGGCTGCTGTCCTTCCTGGCTGCCCTGCACGGGCTCCATGCCGTGCTGAGCCTACTTACTGCTCACCCCCTGCACTTCGCCTGCCTCTTTGGTCTCCTACAGGCTCTGGTGCTGGCTGTCAGCCTCCGGGAGCCAAGTGGGGATGAGGAGGCCACTGACTTGGAGGGTAATAAGTTGAGGAGGGAGGGAGAGGAGCAGAGGGGAGACCCAGGAAAGGGGCTGTGACCTCAGAGTGGGTGTGACCAGGCCCCCCCTCCCCCTCCGTGGGGTGGGAGCAAGGGTGAAGACAGTGTGGCCTTTAGGAGAGTAGGGGGGATGACCCAGATTGTAAGCACAGGGACCTCAGGGATGGGGAAGAAACCCCAGAACATGAGGGTACCCACCCACCCAGGGAGAGAACAGCTGTTCAGGGCATCTGGGTTTATGGACAGTGGGGGCATAGCCCTTGAATTCACCAGCTGTTGTTACTTTTTGATTTTATATTTCTCCTACCTTCAAGTTTTTTTCCTCATCTTCACGTTTTAAAAGCCAAAAAATATTTTTTTTTTAATGTTGTGGTGGAGAATAAAGACTAAATAGTCCTCTCTACCTTTCAAGACTCCCCAGGGACAGACAGAACTCTGGCTGGGGTAAGAGGGTGGTTGGGAGACCCAAGGGGTCCCTTGGACCTTGGGACATCTAGGGTAGAATGGGGCTGCTAGGTGGGTGGATTTGGGGACTGGATGGGGCGCACAGGCAACAGGGAGCCTGCAGGGATGAAGTGGGTGTTTCTGGGAGTCAGAGGGAGTGGGGATGGTGTAGGTGGTACTGGCCGGAGGGGTGGGGCAGGGGCAGGCAGCCCTTGCAGGGATTAGGGGTTGCTCACTCAGCAATAAATCACTGTCACAGCAAATCCTAAATATACCACTAAAATGAGTGAACTGCCATGCAGTGTCCTTCCTGATGCCGCCCAGCTAGGGGTTCAGGTGGTAGGAAGTTCAGGGGGCGTTTTGAAATGGGAGTGGGATTGATGTCTGGAGAAAAACCCCAACATGTGATGAGGATTGAAAAATCGTCTTTATTACTCCTTAGAAGGACACCTCCGGCTTCTCTTCACCACAATCTTAGTCCCACCAAATACATCTGGGGGCACAGATGAAGCCACAGGTCAGTCACTGGACTACTTGCAGGCCTCTGGTGGGAGGAGGGAGAAAAGAAGAGGATGGGAAGGAAGGAAATCCAGGAAGAGATGCAAGCTTGCTGGTAACGGGTGGGGGAGAATGCACTCCCTCATTCCTCCCTTATCAAAGGGGCCTCTGCGGCCTGTTTCCCTCTGTGTCTGACTCTCCCCCCTGCATTTACTGCAAACTCAGAAACCTCTCTTGAGTAGCCCACAGCCTATCCAGGCTTCCTCTGGTGCCATCACAACCTATAACACAAATGGAGGATATGAACACAGCCACTCTGATAGTATCAGCCTTTGGTCCTGCCCTCTGGTGACATCACTTGAGTCCCTTTCCTTCAGCACCTGCAGCAGACTTGGTGAGTCCTAGTTCTCTTCTGTGGGACTTTGTCCCCTTACCTTGTTTCCTGGGAGTCAGTAAGAAGGCCTTGGAGTCCAGGCAGGAGGTCAGGGACTGGAATTCCTCCACACACTTCTCAGGAGGGTATGGTGAGCGGTCTGAAAGGGCACAGCAGGGCCAGGCCCATCAGCACCTCTACTTAGCAAGTCCCCTGGGGAGGACCTGGAAGCACCCAGCCCTTCCTGGGATGATATCCCAGGGTCCAGAGTGAGGGGCTCTCCTGCCCCTCCCGGTTTCCTTCCAGCCCACCCTGCCTCGCCACCGCACTCACTGTAGAGCAGGAAGCGCTGGTAGCCCTGGCCCGTCTCCTTCAGCATGATTCCACCTGGGCATGAGCTGGAGAAGAGCTCGGTCTTCATGTCTGGGCGCCCTGTCAGGATGGGTTGGGGGAAGTGTGAGGACAGAGATGCAAAACAAGCCAACCAGGGGATCTGGAGAGAGGGAGGGCTGGAGAGAACCAACCTTCAGTTCTGAGATCTGTGCTCCCTTCAGTCAGGTGGTAGATCCATTCCCGGGGCACACAGGACCCAGTTTTCCTGCAGAGGTGGTGGTGGCGAGAAAGAAAGATTGAATGACACCCCAGCCACACAGTACCAACCTTCATTTATTCCTTTATTCCTTCTGAAGCCTGGGTCAGCTTGGGTTTCAAGCTACCAAGGGTTAGGCCCATCTCTCTCCAGATGAAAACTAACAAAACCATCGCACTCAGTGGGCCAAGAACAGGATATGCCAGTGAGCCCCGCTCTTTGTGGGTCGGTGCTCACACTTTGGGCAGAGACTGTACCTGTTGGTACCTCTGCCTCCTCACCACTTACGTGCGGATGGTAGCACGAAGCTGGAGCTGCGTGGGGGCAGAGCCCGCAGCCATGTTGAAGACAATGTTGTCCACAGGGTCAAAAGTTGCCAACTCCTCCTTGGTGGGAGCTGCCCCTGCAATAAAATGCCACTGGCCCAGGTGGGGCTCTGGAAACTGGAGAGACAACAAGGGGAGCAAGAGAGGGTGTGTCCCACTGCAGGTCCATCCAACCTGCCAGGACAGCAAGACTTCGTGTGGAGGTATCGGCTGCCTTTTTCCAACTAGACTTGGATCCACGACGGGGAGTCATTAAATGACTTTTCCTCTTTTCCTGCCCTCAGTAACCCGAGTGCCCCTCCAACCCCAAATGCTACCATGACTCCACATTGATGGCCGAAGTACTAATATATTTTTACTCCTCCTTGTTTTTATCCTCACAGTATTCACACCCTCTTCCTCCCCTCCTTTCACAATGTAGCTTCTGGTCACGCTAGGCCACCCACTCAAGTCCCTCAGAGCCCCCACTGCAAGTTTCCCCCCATTCTCAGTCCATACCTCTTTCCCATCCACGTCCTGAGTTGTCAGGTGACTCGGCTCAGGGCACTGGTAGATGGAATTAAGGAGAATGCCATAGAGGTAAAGCAGAGCTGCCCAAATTTGGTGGAACATCTTTAGGCAACAGGGAGCTGGTATGTTCCTCGTGGAGTGGCTGGTGCCTTAACTATTCTCTTCCCCACTGGCTGGTCAGTCCACTCTGCTTCCAGCCCCTTTGCCTTGACCCTTGACCCTTTACCTGCTAATGAGTAACTTCAACCTTGTTTTCCAAACATTGATTACTTAGTGTTTGCCCTTCCGCCCCCTCTGCTAGACGCAGCCACTCTACAACACGCCCTGGCACGCCCAGGGTCTTGGGGGTTATCAGAAGAGCTGAGCCCTGCAGGCGGAGACGGTGGTCTCTATCTGAGCTGGGGTCTGCTGTGTTGTGCAGCACTGGAGAGGTGGATTCATTCATTCACTTAGCAAACTTTTTATTAAGTCTCAGCTGTTTGCCAGGAATTGGCTAAGCCCTGGGGACATAAAAATGAATAAGGCATAGTCTCTGGCCTTGAAGTCAGTCTAAGGAGAACTAGCTGTGTAAACAAATCATTGTAATACAACCTGATAAGTGCTTTCAGACAGGTATGAACCAGGTTCTGGGGCATGCCTGATGGGTGGCTTTTTCTCTGGTTTGTAATTGGGGAAATAATATGTACACCATCCAGAAAAGCTCACTGACACAGTTCATTCCATGTTTATTACTATAAGAAACTACATAAGCTAGTGGTTAAGGGGGACAGATAGACACGGTGCTGGGCAGAGTGGGTTCAAGCCCCAACTCTATTTATTAATCTCTATGCCTGCTTTTTCATCTTTAAAATGAGCATATCATCAATCTCAGGGGATTAAGAGATAATGCATATAAAGCCCTTTGCAAAAGCCTATACCTGGCAAGTCCAAAGTAAATATTCGCTGAAGTAATGCTTGTAAAGTGATTATTAGTTTCTGGTGGGTAATACAGTCCCAAATAATAGTACCAAAAGGGTTGAGCAGTTAATGCAATGAAATGTGGGACTTTCTTAATTATAATTTATAGACTGCCAAAAAAAAAAAAAAAAAAAAAAAGGTTTGTCCTGAGAGGTGAGGCTTGAGATTTGGGGCATCTGAAGGCTCAGTATGCTATTTTCTTTTTCAAATATATTTTATTGATTTTTCACAGAGAAGAAGGGAGAGGGATAGAGAGTTAGAAACATCGATGAGAGAGAAACATTGATCAGCTGCCTCCTGCACATCCCCAACTGGGGATGTGCCCGCAACCAAGGTACATGCCCTTGACCGGAATCGAACCTGGGACCTTTCAGTCCACAGGCCGACGCTCTATCCACTGAGCAAACCGGTTAGGGCTGCTATTTTCTTTTGGGGTAATGTTTGACATTTTTTATTTAAAAAAACTAAAAAATGTACTGGGGCAGTAAAGCAGTGCTTGACCCAGGGAGTCCGGTAGGCCTGCATCTGCCAGTTCCCTAGCTGTACTCACTGCATAAGGGGATGTAATAGCCATCTCCTGTTGAATGACTTATAAACGTGACTGTACGTGGAACCCTGGACTGAAACAGTAGTGGGACCCGGGTATAAACCAAGAACCGCAGAAGGGCCGGGCCGGGGGCGAAGGCGGCGGAGCAGTCACCCCGGACCTCGGCCTGCAGAAACCCTGTGGCGGCCCCTTCAAGTCCCCACGGCGGGAATCTGGTGTTTCGGTCCGGTCGGACTTCGTTTGCTCTCAACTCCCAACCTCGGAGGTGCCGTTTTGGGGGGGACAAAAGTCCTGAGAGGTAGTAAATGCTTAGCTTCTGAAAAACGGCGTGTTCCCTCGGCCGCGCACCGCCGGTGAGAAACACGGCACCCGCACTCCGCAAAACGCCCACCGGACGGAACCGAAATTAGGCCCAACGACACGACCGGACGAAAGACAGCTCGCGAGCCAGCCCCAACCGCCCAGCACGGGGTGACTTCCGGAGCCGCCGCAGGAGTGGCGCGGCGCGGCGAGGACGGGGACGGGATTTTAGGTGGCCAGGACAGTGCCGCCTCAAAGTCTCTGCCGGCCAAGACCTTAACACAGATTAACGAGGCACAATCTCTAGTCCCCAAACTCCAACACCTATATCACCGTCCAGAGCTTCTCGAGGCAGTCATAAAGTCTCATCTGGAAATTCTTTTCCAGGCATTTACAGTGGCCACCTCAATCTCCTCTGGCTCCAGCGCGCGCACGGAAGAAAGGAACGGCGCCAGCGAGGGTGGGGCGGTGCCTGTGTGTACGCATGCGTAATGCGACGCACGCAGACGCAGTACGGTGCCCCGGGCGACGGCGGCGGCTCCTCGGGGTGCTCGGCTCCCTCCCATCTAGGCCGGCCCCGGCCCGTCTCGCCCTCAGGGACTCACTGTTTGGGGCCGTGGACTTTCTTGTCGTGCCCCACGAAAGTGAAGCTTGGGGACCTGAGGGGAGCCGGAAGTTCCGCCTCGCGATCTCCAAATATTATCGGGGAAACGGAAGTGGCCGTCGGTGGCAGGTTGGAGGTGACCGGAAGTGACGGCACCGTGGGGAAGTCGGGGGTGGGTCCGCGGGGTGGTGTGTGTATTTGATGTGTGTTGGTTGCGACGCTCTGCTGGAACTCCGGAAGAAGGCGGAAGAGGGGGGCAGTCAGCTAA